ACAGACAGTGAGATCAACAATTAATAAATGGGACCTCCTGAAACTGAGAAGCTTCTGTAAGGCAAAGGACACAGTCAGCAAGACAAAAAGGCAGCCCACAGAATGGGAAAAAATATTCACTAATCCCACATCTGACAGAGGGTTGATCTCCAAAATTTACAAAGAACTCAAGAAGCAAGTCTCCAAAACACCAAAGGACCCAATTAAAAAGTGGGCTGCAGAACTAAATAGAGAATTTTCAATAGAGGAGTCTAAAATGGCTGAGAGGCACTTGAGAAAGTGCTCAACATCCTTAGCCATCTGGGAAATGCAAATCAAAACAACTCTGAGATACCATCTCACTCCCATCAGAATGGCTAAAATCAAAAACACCAATGACAATTTATGCTGGAGAGGATGTGGTGAAAGGGAGACACCCCTCCATTGCTGGTGGGAGTACCAACTGGTTGAGCCACTTTGGAAATCAGTGTGGAGATTCCTCAGAAAAATGGGAATATACCTACCACAAGATCCAGCAACTCCACTCTTAGGCATATATCCAAAAGATGCCCATTCATACAACAAGGATGTCTGTTCCACTATGTTCATAGCAGCATTATTTGTAATAGCCAGAACTTGGAAGCAACCTAGATGTCCCTCAGCCAAAGAGTTGATAGAGAAAATGTGGTACATTTACACAATGTAGTACTATTCAGCAGAAAAAAACAATGGAATCCTGAGATTTGCAGGCAAATGGATGACACTAGAAGAAACCATCCTGAGTGAGGTAATCCAGTCACAAAAAGAGAAACATGACATGTACTCTCTCATATATGGATTTTAGACATAGATCTGGGGAGTGCCAGCCTACAATCCCATGGCCAGAGAGTCTGGGAAACAGAAACTTCATTCAGTGGCTGATGGAAGAAGAGGCAGACTCCCTCGGTTAAGTACTGAGCTGAACTCAAGAAAGCCAGTAACAGAAAGGGAGGATTGATGACCAAAGGCATTAAGACTGGGCTGGTTTAACCCCCAGAAACAGCTGACCTGACAAAGGTTAACTCTTGAATCCCAGGCATCAGCCTGGGAATCCAACATGGGACTGATCAAGACCCCCTGAATGTGGATGTCAGTGAGGAGGCCTAGGTAATCTATTGAGCCTTGGGCAGCAGATCAGTGCCCATCCCGAGTATACACACGGACTTTAGACTCCCATCCAACAATGTGAGGTGCACTCTCACCCAGAACTCTTGGGGGAGGGTCTAGGCCCTGCCCTGTATGAAATGACAGACTATGGACACCCGCATGGAGGGCCTCACCCTCCCTGGGGGAATGAGGGGATAAAGGAGGGGTTGGGGGGAAGTCATGGGAAGAGGCGATGGAAAGGGAGAGGGACCTGGAACTGACTTGTGAAGCAACCTTGTTTCTTATCTAAATTTAAACTGAAAAATAAATTTAAAAAAATTAAAAATAATTTTTTTAATAAAAAATGACAATGAGTAGGAAAAGCCTCTTCTTTGAGTTGACAAAAGAGAAGAAGCCTGACTAAACTTGTTTGTGGGCACTGAGTTCTGAGACAGGAAGTGCGAAGAATGTGTTGTAGTGGGCAGCAGTGGGCAGCATAGATGGTGGAGTGAGTAAGCTATGAAGGGTGTGAGAAATTATAACAGCATCATATGTATTTAGTGGGCTACAGTAAGAACCTGGGTATGGATTCTGAGTCAGCAATATTACTTATAGAAACTCCAGTCATCTGTTTTAAAACAAGAAATAAAGTACCGTGTGGGGTGGAGAGCCTGGTAGGCTGGCTGTGGGAAGTAGTGTTGAAGGTGGTGAAATAGTCATGGCTCTATCTAGACTGGGAAATGTACTAGCTATGTCCATTTGTTAAACTGAACATTGAAATCATAATCTTGAAAGGATGGTACCTGGGAGCTAAGGAAGCTAATTAGGTTCAGACTGGGTCATCAATGTATAGGTTTAGTGACCTGAGACAGAATGCTGGCTTTCCATTTTGTTCCCAGTAAGGATCCTGTAAGAAATCAGAGGTCTACAACCACAAGAGAGGCATCACTATTACTCAGCTCTTTGCTGAGGCTTCCATCTTCCCAAATTTCAAGAATTAAAATGACTAAAGAAAAGTCACTCAGCTTACTGTATTTTGTTCTAGAGCCTGAGCTAAGGTTGATGATAGAGCTAATAGGATTTGCTAATGTAGTAGATGCAAAGTGAAAGTCAGAAAAGCAATTCAAGAACAATGTTTGGCAGGAGTGCCCACAGAACAGAATTACTGTCACTAAGGGAAGCAAACTAGAATAGATGCAAAATGTGTCATTGGGAGGTGGGCTATCTCCAGAGGCCTGGTCCCCAAGCTGTCTCACAGTGGGAAAGCGATGGGACCTTTGAGAATGAGGCATACTTGAAGAAAGTTATACCACTAGGGAGATGACCTTGATTGGGATATTGGGATGCTCATCCCCTCCTCAATATGTTCTGGCCCCCACACAGTAAACAGAACCCCTTTGCCCCATCCTCCAAATCTACAGACTCAACAAGACATAGAATTATACTAAGAACTAGAATAAATCTTTTCTTACTCATAAATGATATCGGGTGTTTGGCAGGAGCAATGGAAAGTCAACTGACCCAACAGTGGTGCAGCAAGTTAACAGGGGAAGTGAATCAGGATTGTTTTCCAGAACCGCATGGAACTGCTGGGCAGGCAGCTAGATTTATGAGCCTAGAACTGAGGAAAGTCACTAAGGAATTATGACTTGGGTCATCTCATATGGTTTATGGCCATAGGACTTGAGGATATTACCCTATGAGTGTTAGATGGAAACGAGTTCACGGACTGACTGGCCCAATGCTAATCTATCAGGAAAATGAGAAAATTCTGGAATGGAGACAATGTAGGAGCTATCAGTGTAGGTTAAGGAGGCTTGGGAAACCAAAAGGGAGAGTATTTCAAGGAATGCTGGGTAAAACTTGTTGAGATGTAGCCACCAAAGTTGGGTAAAATTTCATTCACATACCACGTTGATTTATAAAACACTTTCTTGTCTGGTCTAGCATGCCAATTAAATTTTGAAAATTGAAGATGATCTAACTAATCTGTTTATCTTAACCATGCTTGCACCCTATGGAAACCAATAGTATTCACCCTTGATACAAAAAAGCAAAGGCAAAGAATCAATTTTACAATAACCTATGCTTCATGTGTGAAGAAAATGGAGGAAACAAAACTATTGATATGACATCTTCAGTACACACAGATAGATACATGCACATGCATATTGATAACTGTGTTACTTCCTTTCTTTAGTTTTTTGTTTCTTCATTTTCTCTTACCTCCTTAAACACCAGATCAAGCAATTAAAAATGGACTTTCTGCCCTATACTTAAAATGTTTGGCAAAATATCTTTCTAACTCCTTTATGACAGTTCAAGGCCACCTTAGCAATTCCAGGCTACAGTGCTTTCCCTCCTTTATTTCCCCAATTACTTTGCTACTCTACATGACACATTTCCAGCTGACAAGGACTGGCAAGTATATTCTCCAGCAGCTCCAAGAGCCACTATGCCACTACCTCTCCCCTAGAAGTTTCTAAGATGAGGAAGAAAAATATTGAAAACAACCCAGGGTTAGCCACACCTTAACAAACTTATCTTTCTCTATAACTACCTGGAAATTTTCCATTCTTCCATTCACATCTTAAATGATGAATATTTAAACATGGTTATAGACAAAGACTAGTGATAAAATGCAGATTTTCATTTCCCCAGTGTAGGTGGACAAAGATGTGAACCATGGTGTAGGTAATTTAACACCAAGTTAAATACTTAAGTTTAAGAAGATCATAGCTCAGTGGTAGAATATTTCTTTAGAGTGTGTAATGCCCTGTTTAGGTCCTTACTGTTGCAAAAAGAAGAAAGTTAGAGAAGAGTCTATGAAATTCTGTTTTGTTGTGCATGTTGATATTTACACTAACAGATGCATTTCAGTATTTCTTAGAAAATTCCAAGTGCAAGTCTCTCTGCAACTAATGTTGAGCACAATTGCCTATAAAGGTCATAAAGCATGTGTGTGTCATGGAAAGTACGTCACAGAGAGGGACAGAAGACCAGATTACTATAGCAGGCAGATAGCTTTGTGGCCTAGTTGTCTAAGTTATATAATTTAAACCATAAAATAATCACAAACATGTGAATCATAAAATAATAAAATTCCTACCTTATCTAATTCACACAAGTGTATGAAAACTAAAGTAGATTCTATGCATATGTGCTTCATAAACAGTGAAGTATTTTACACATGTGGAGAAGGCTGTGTTGTCTGTGCACGTGTGTGTACATGTGCATGCATTTGTGGTTGAACATGCACACACTGCAATGTGTTAAATATTTAGAACCACAGCAGATTCATTAATCCCATCTTTTCATCTGTTTGGGAATGACAATCTACTCTTAACTACTAAAACCCATGCTGTGTCTTGACTGTTCATTAGCACCTTGGAAAGGAGTTGGCAGGGTATTTAAAATTTAAATTCAGCATTGTAGCTTTCGGTTAGCATTTCTGGTTAATGACATGTGGAGAAGAATATGGCTAAATTTAGTTTGATTGATCAATGAATTTTACTGAACTAGGAAAACAGCTTTCATCATTAATTTAAAAAGAAGGAAATTCTACCAAATCCAAAACTTCCATTGTTTCTGTTCCTGGATTATAAAACCTTCACCAAGTGAATGCCTCATCTGTGACAATGCAACTTGCCATTTTAGGTAAACTGTAACAATTCTATACACCTTTGCTTTAGCTTTCTGAATCCTTTATCTATATTTTAAACTCCTTATCCAGGCTCGTGTTTGAAGACATGTACAGAGAAGAAAAGCAAAATCTTTAAAAACCATTTTCAGATAGTTAAATTTTGAATTTTACATTTTTATCATTAGTGAATTATTTTGTGCTGCTCTGAAGACAAGGCTGGGCAAGATTGAACACAGTGCATGCTCCCACTTACTTGCCGGTTAGAAGCTCATATACTAGAATCCCCAGGGACCAGAAGTCCACACTGAAGTCATGTCCTTTGTTGAGAATGACCTCAGGGGCCACATACTCTGGAGTCCCACAGAATGTCCATGTTTTCTGCCCAGAGCCAATCTTCTTAGCAAATCCAAAGTCAACCTGGGACAGGATGCCAAATAAAAATATAAAGCATATTCTGATTTTAAGTTTTCTGCTAACTCTGAGTTTTCATACAACCCAAACTTTCCTTCAAAACACACACACACACACACACACACACACAGAGAGAGAGAGAGACAGAGACAGAGACAGAGACAGAGAGACAGAGAGATAGATAGAGACAGAGAGAGATTCCTTTGTAAGTCATATGTCAATCAAGTTGCTAAGAGAAAGTTTCATTACATATACCTCATTACCCTTGAAGACAATTCAAATTCATTCTTATGCTCCCAGAAAACAAGTCTAAAGTTTATTTTAATGTGCTGTTTATCCAATGGGTTGAATACAGAAGGGGAAAATGACAGAAACATGTGCCTTTACCCCACCAGGGATTAAAATAATTGCAAAGTTGAGAGTTTGGGAAAGAGTCTACTGCTAGGAAGGGAACTGTAAACCTCTACCTAGCACTGTTCACAATGTATATCCTCTGTATATCTCTCAGGTCTGAAGCAAAGTCAACAGCATCTTTCCGAGTTTGCTCTGAGCTCCAAACACTTCTGGTCCCCATTAGCGAGGTGGGCGGTAGCTAGTACCAACATTAACTTGCTTATTCTGGAAATGTAGGGTCAGCGCCCACTCTGACTTAGACTTTCTTCTATGCTTATCATACTGAGTTAACCATGAGAAGCCGGGTGCTGGGGAAATTTATGCACACATGGTTAACACAGCACTTTATGATACACAACAGGGAAGAAGGCATTAAACTCAGAGTGAAGAGGTAAAAAAAGAACTAACATCCAGAACTTTAGGAAGATAGGGCTAAAAGAGGGTGGGTGTCATCAAGAGGTGATACCTTTGGCTGTCCCTGACTAGGGATCACGAACTCTCCCCTGGTAAGGAGTCCCCACTCCCCTCCTCTGCCTTGTGGAATATATCTCTCACTTCTCCAAGCTTTTACCCAATGAACTCTGCAGAACAAATAAGAAAGGAGGCCAGAGCTTCAGCAGCTCCTTCCTGAAGGAAGCAGTGTGTCTGAGAGCCAGCCCTGCAAAACAACAATGGGCTTCTACACAGGGGAGATGAACAGTACTCACTCATCTCTAGTGTGCACTGATTCTGCCTCAACTTACTTCTACCTCCCTCGGGTAACAGGCATAGAAAGTGTTTCTAGGCTCACTGTGCCCTTTTTATTGGCTTCTTTGCAAGTGGTTAATTCCAATAACATGACAATAATTCATGCTTAAAAATGGAGAAAGTTAACATCGGAATCAGTCCTCACTTTGAAAATCGGGGTCCAGAAACAAAAGCATCTAACACCTTAGTTTGTTCAAATGTTCGTGTTTAAAGCTTTTGTTTTTCCTTAAAGAGGTCCCATAGAAACTCTCTCCTTTCTGAGATTATTCATACCTGTCACGTAGTAGCAAAGATTTCTTTATTAAAAAAAAAGAATTCAAACAACCTACTCCAAAGTGGGCTTCTCCTGTTTGCCTTCAACAACTACACAGCATGACTCACAAAGATTAAATCTGAGGGATGGCTTGGAATATTATAAGATAAAACTGTGTAACCAGCTGAAATGAGGACATCTACATAGTCCTCAGAAAAGAAAAAAAAACAATAATGAAAGCCCTACCTCATTATATAAAGCCTGAAATTTAAGAGGTGAAAACAAGGCACTTATAGAAATAGGGCATTTTGTTGGTTTACAACAGCCTCTAGACTGTTTCCTAATTGTATTTAATTTCCCTTTTAAGAATTACTAGAAGTTCATTGGCTATTTAGGAGAACTATTTTAATTTTTAAAATAATATATTTTAACTTGAATTGCCGGCATGCTCCCACAATATTTGCATATTGGCTCAATGTGGTGGTAATAATTATATTAGCATTCCAAAATTTGCAAAATTGTATCACTTTCTTTGGCTACTTGGGTCATGCCAACTTTGATCAAATACATTTGGCCAGAATAAATTGGCATTCAGAGCTATCCAAAGCTGTGTCACTAATGTAGAAGATGCCAGATCTCCTATGCCAAGTTCTGTGTATTTTCTGTAAGGATCAAGCTCCCCTATCTCATCTCAGCACCATGGCTACACCATGGAGCCTGCTCTTTGTCCTCTAGGCAGCAGAAAGCTAAGTTCCTCTTTCCTTTATTCTGTGACACCCAGTGAGCCTCATCCTATGGCAAGGACCGGGACACACACAAAGATCTAGTTCTCAAGAAGCTTATACCAGAAAGAGGAGAAAAATAATGAGCATGGAAATGTACCATAAAAATGATACGATAAGGCATGCATTCAGAAGACTTAGACACAGAGAAAAAGACAAACTGCTCTTGAAATAAGGGGGCAAGGAAAACACACTTCAATAAGGTAGCATTTGAGCAGTTTTGAGCAGAAATATGAATGAAATCAGAGAGACTTCTGTAAATATCTGAGGAACAGGGTCCTTCCAGGAAGAAGAGACAGCACAGAGGCCTAAGAAGCAGATGCTGGTGTTCAGTTCAAGGCCTGTCAAAGTCAATGTGACTGTGCCATGGTTCTTAGAGACAGAAAGGGCATGAGGATCCAACATGGATTTGTAAACCACTGGAAGACCTTGGGAAGAAAGCATATGGCGATTCATGTCCTCAAGGGATCATGAAGAAAAGAAAGCTGACACCCTCTCCCTTTATTTTCAAATTATGCTTGAAGGATAAAAAAGAAACAGGCTGTGGAGATCTCAAGAAAAGCTATACACCGGTTTTTAAGTCAACATTAAATTTCCACTACTAAGGATGGTTTACATTGAGCCAAGAGCTTTCAAACATGTTTCTAATGGCTAAAATAAACTAGAAGGATTTGAGATACTTCCAAACCTGGAGCTGTGGCTGCATCATTCAGAAACAGAAAGCTCAGCACGTGGCTTCTTAAAGCTGTGTCCAGCAGCAATGATCTTTGTCTTTATTCAGAAGTTTTTCTCTGGGGTAGCAAATTTCTTAGCTATTGGTTCATTCGCATAAGAAATGGGCACAAAATGACTAGTCTAATTAAAGCATATGACTCATGGAGTCATAACATTCCAAAAAAGTACTTTTGTGGTATTTCTAGGGCACCTTCTCTACCTCAGGCTAGACAGGGGAAAATGGAATCTCTGTCTTTCTGGCAACTCCCACTGTTGATTAACATCCTTCTCTAGTGGACAGCAATGGCCATTTTCCCTCAGTGGCAGGGGGACAGGCAGAGGAGCCTCTTATGAAATAGCCCCTTCTAGATGGGATGGAGTGATTCCCTGGAATACTTGGAGCACTGAGCTGGGTAGGACAAAGTGAAGAATACTATTCACAAAGGCAAACTAGGGAAATCCTTCGAGGCTCCTCTCACCATCTCCTTGAAGGCTTCCCCAAATCACAGAACCTATTCCTCTCTCCTTCCGGGGTCCTTACCACCATTTCACATGCCTTTGGGTAGCAGGTTCTAACTAGATCACCAAACCTAGCCCATTGAGAAGAGTTCTCACATATCCATTTTGTAGTCAACTGTTTTTGGAATGTGGTGGGTACTCAACCTGTGATTGTTATATGGGAAAAAGTGATTAAGTGTTAAAGTCCATTTAAATAAGATATACTGTAGCCAGAAAAGCCACCATGCACACTTGCATGATGCAAGACCCCATCCAGCATTCAAAGATAAGTTTCTTGTATCAGGTGCATTGAGGCGGAAGATATTTAAAGGAGAAGCAGCCTCATGTGGCAGACGCAATGATGGCACAAGGTCAACTCTCACCTAGTAAGTGAGTAGCAACGCTGCATCTATAGAAAATAGTTGAGGCCAGGGGTTATTTTCATGTTTCACATTAGGACATTCCTGATACATTAAAGAAATGCGGCACAAATGCATGAGAAGCAGAAGGTCTGGTGCCGCACCAGCTCAGGCACTAGAGAACTGAGATGTAAGTCCCGCCCTGTGTGTTCTGGCCCATGGCCAAGCCACCACCCACACTCTAATGCATACATTTATCAAATCTTTCCATTCATTTCTAACTTTACCACACACCCACTATCACAAATACGATACAACTTCTAGTTTTTAATCTTTAGATCAATCTTATTATACCAATTTTGGGCAACTTGATTTTTCTCACTGAAACCCAAACCCACTGAATTTGCCAAACAATGAAATCTACTTATGATGAATTGTACCACCATTTAATTAACACCCTTTTACTATCTGTAAGGATAAAACCACTACACCTCCAAATTGCCCTTCTTCTGCTGGTGAGCAGTTGAGCTATAATCAGCTCACAAAACTGAGGAGACACTTTCTTTCTACCTGGGTTTCCTTATTTGGCCTCACAAACACCTTGGCTATTCTGGACACTTGGGTATTTGAACCTAAATTCCTAGCATCAAATTTAGGTATTTGAACCTAAATTCCATGAACAGCGCTATGGAAATTTCATTAGAAGCATATCAGAACTGCAGATCAGCTTATTGAGTACTTCTTCGAGGATGAGGACTGACTCTTCCTGTTTTTAAACACGATGTTTCGGTCTGAGTTGGGATAAGTAATGCTAGCTACTACAAAAATAGAACCAGGAGGATATTAAAGTCTTAACTGTACATTAATTAATTCTTACTGATGGATTTCCCTGGATGTAAGTGGCTCTTGAAGCAATGATTCAGGAGGACAAACTTCAAATTTGATAGTTCTGCCAACTCAAATGTCTGTGTTTGTTGACAACAAGCTAGAAAGCATACAGAGACCCACTTCACAAAGCATTTGTAGGCCAGACTTCTGAGGGGTGAGCCGCTTTGCTATCATTTCATGAGCTACAACTATGTTACTTGGTCACAATAACCAAGAACGAGGGCTACGATAAGTTGTCTAGCTCCACTGAGAAGACAGAATGAGCCACATCATCTATTAATTAATTTAGATCTCTTGATAGCTTTCTATAAAACTTTGCAAGTGTCACAATAAAGCTGTTAAACATTTTATTATATTTGGCCCTAGATACAT